TAAATGATTTTTTGAAAATGTTCTAATATTATTCCTGGAAAGAACACGACCTCGTTTATGGATTCTCAAAATTTCAGATTTTTCTGCGGGTTCGTGTGACGCTCAACCTCACGTCCTGCGCTGCTTCCCGGTCGGAGCGTTTTGGTTCGCGGAAGGGCCCGGGGAGGACAACGAAGATGGGGTGTGCCAAGGATTTTTGGAAAAGTTGACTGTGGGGACACAGGCAGAACCGAAATCCCCCGTGTTGGTCCGACCCTAGTAAGAAGGAGGTTCGTCGCCGCGCGGGTTTAGGGGAGAAAAAGGCGCGCGCAGGGCTCGCGGCTATGGGAAATTCAATCCAAAAAGTATCGTTGAACTTCCCAGCCGTCGTTCTTCGTTTCACGTGAAAGGGGGCGGGTACACACGTGGTATCCCGTTTATGGATAGGTCTCGTTGGCACTCGTTACACAACTCCGAGTCCGACATGGAGGGCTTCAATCGAGTAGCCCTCTCCTTATGCTCATCCTCGCTACGTGTGCGGTAGTGGAAACCCTTGGCTTGGTAACGCTCGAAGAGGTGACAATCGCTACACAGAGTGTTAGGCCAATGAGGCTCTACTGCCGTCCCACGGGATGACGATCAACTCGTTAAATGGCAACAACAACGAATAGGGCGGAAAGTGCGTATCAACAATAACAAAACCCGCACCGTCGAATCCAGAACACCGAGTTTCAGGAGGAAAGTAGTAGCGCCCGTCCATCTTAGCGACCGCTTCTCGTACGTCTCACTCGCATACACGAGTCCTTTCCTTGTTGTACGGAAAGGGGCGCGGCGGGGGTACGGAAGTTGGCGCCCGGTCGGGTTGGGGCCGTCAGTCCACATGGCAACAAAGCAAACAAAAAAATCCTTCCTAATCATACATCATTCGTTCGACACTCTAAGCAGCCAGATCATTCAGTCGATCAGCCAATCATCATCCCAGTCATGCTTCAACAAGCTCTCTAATACGACCCACTGCATGCACATATCAAAGTGAGAGAAGCAAAGTTATTATAATTCATCCATTATAACAAAACATAACAGAAGGAGAGAATGAGGGAGAACATACGCAAATCAGAGGGGAGGAAAGCGTAGAAAGCAATCACAGAATGTCCGGTGACATTGTCAAGGGAAATTCCGGCTTAGAAGCCGAGTGATCAGAACTCACGCTTGAAGATCCAGATTTTGGGAGAAAAAGAGGCGCTTCCGCCATAAGATTCCACCATGGCCCCAAGCCATACATCCACTCAACCTTCAATTCGAACCTCACGCTGGCACTGACGATCCCGGCCGTCACGTGCTACTCCCACCATAGCGATCTTCACCCCACCGACTTAGTCTCTGCGCGGTCTTACCTGGATCCCACAGTTCGCCGGGCGATCCAGCGCACAGCCGGCAAGACTACAATCAGCCCGTCAGGACTTTTAGACTCGCACCTTTATACGTACCACCTCGCCACTGCTTCCCGAAAGCTGGCTGATGAGTTGAGAGAGAGATTTTCGGGAGCGCTTGCGGAATTTATAGCTGCGGAAAAGGAGGTGGATGCTAGGAAGGATTAAGACTGAGGTGGGAAGTGGTAGGGAGAGGTCCGGGGAAAATCGCCC